GAAATTACAAAGTGCTCTATAGGAGATTGTTACACGAAAATCCCATAGATGTGAAGTCTCACATTCAAATTACATTCCTTTGAACATCCTTCTTGCATAAAAGTTTCTAACCTAGACATAAATTCTTAACGTTCAACTCCTAATATGGAAACATTTCCATATTTGCCATATGACAATTCATTCTAAATAGAATCTTGTTTATTCATAATAATGTAAATATGGTCCATCCATTAGTATACTTCCAACTGCTCACAAGCAACCAATCCTTGGCGAACCTTAGATTGTCCTTGACAGTTGTTTAATTATTTTAGTCAAATCTGGTTCTAGTCCCTTTTCCCTCTTAATGCCCTAGACATTTGGAAAATTAAGACTAATTCCTTGACAAAGAGTCAAATGAAGGACTAGAAGAACTAGTACATAATGTTGTGAACTAGTCAAATCCACCACAAAGAACAATAACATTATTCGTCATGATTTACTAAAAGTATAGTAAAGGTGATTATACTTAAAAGATTAAGTGTAATTCTAAATCATTGAAAAGTTTCAATGAATGGCAGAACGAATAAGTAGAATCAATGAAGGCATAAATATAAAAGGTTTCTCCAATCTAAGAAGAAGGGAATGGGTTGAGACAGGTCCTGTTTGTTGGTTTGGGGGAATGGGTTGAGGCAGGTCCTGATTCGTGCTGTAGGCCAAGATACCCAGGGCGGTCCGGATAGACCACACCCCTGGAGGGCATGTTGGTTAGATTGAAGGCCCGACGAGCGGTCCGGATAGACTGAAGGCCCCAAGGAGGGCGGTCCATACGTGCCGAGGGCTCTAAGAGCGGTCCAGATAGACTGAGGACCGGGAGGCGGTCCAGTCAGACTGATGGCTCATTATGCATGCTGTTTGCTTGTTTATTTATACGACATGGTTATATCTGTATGGCATTGGTATTTTGGGGGTAACTCACTAAGCCTTCGAGCTTACATTTATCGATTATTGTTTTAGGTACTTCTGATGATCGCGTTAAGGCGAAGGTGTGATCGTGTACCTCCTTATATTTTCATGATTTGATTCTGGGGATACTCTGATGTCTAAACTATTTTGAAAAAAAATTGTAATAACTTAATGGTTTTAAATGTTTTAAAAAGTTTTAAATTGGCTTGAAGTTTATGGGTGTTACATAATATGGGTCTTAATGGATTAAGATGGTTGTTGGGTCCCATTTAGACATGCAAATGCATAAAGGTGTCAACTATATGCATTAAGAGCTTTATTTTAAGGTTCTCTGACGTTTGGGTGCAAAGTGCTTAAGTGGTTAAGCAATAACATAAGTTTTGGAATAAGTCAGTTTAAGCCCCGTGTAACTGACCGTACGCCCAACGTACTAAGTTCTGGTCACAATCTAGATTCGTTGAGTACACCCATTGTACTAAGCGTACGCCCTGCATACAACACTCAGCTGGGCTTTGGACTTGTGTTTTTGGGCTTCACATCGTTCGGCCTCGGATTGGGCCACTTCTTTGGACTTTGTTGATTTGGGCCTTTTTGGGACATCTGAAATCAAGCTTTTTGGACTAAGGAAATTATTGGGATTTAGGATAAGGCGTATATGGGGCTTATGGCCCAATTTGGAAAATTGGGCCATAAGTGGACCTTTGTGGATCTATTTGTTTTGGGCCTTTTTGGTTTATGGATTTGGGCCTCAGTTTTGGTTCAAGCTAGGCTAGGGGTAAAATGGTCATTTTACCCCAAGTATGAATTATGGGCCATAGATTGGAACCCAAGTGTTAATTGGGTGTTATTTTGTACTGATAGCCGGGGAGTCGTCAGGGCAGCAACTAGAGATTTCTTTCAGTGAGCTTCAGCATTCGAGGTGAGTTTCCCTCACTGGGTTTAGCGGGTCTAAGGCACCAATTCGGCCCTTATTGATTATGTTAGGATGCTAGGAGTCTGTGTGACCCTTGCATGTGTTATGAGTTGTTATGTATATCGGGCGGGGCTCCATGCCTGACGTGAGGACTGGAACATATGCTAGTGTTTATGATCATTATACATGTTAGCATGATTATGTGATATACATTGTATGTGTATAGCAGGCGAGGCCCAGTGACAGGCGAGGCCTTAGAACAACAGATTTGTATACCGAGCGGGGCTCGATGCCGGGCGAGGCGCGATGTCGGGCGGGGGCCCAGTATATGATTTATTATGTATGGTATGGGGTAGTTTGGGGAATTCACTAAGCTTCGTGCTTTAGGTTTTCAGTTTATGTTTCAGGTACTTCCAGTGGTAAGGGGAAGAGCTCGGGGTGACTGCATTGCACACACCACATGGATACCGCATTTGATATTTCACTCTGATTTTATGATATTTGATACACTTGTTTTATTTGGGATGTATGGATAATGATTGGAATACTATTTTACTTGATTTAAAAATGAAAATTTTGGACTATATTTTTGGGACGTTACAAATAATCTAACCAAACTTGCAAAAATGACTCTGATACCAATCGTTGGGTTTTTATTCAAAAATAGTCCAATTATAGTCTAAAATTTGATGTAATTATCAATGTAAACATTTTTGTTTTGAATAAACTAAAACCATTTTATACCTACCAAGGATCATTTTGCAAGAACTTAGAAAGATTAAACATAACCAAAGAAGAAGAAAGTATAACAACCTTTGAAGACTTTGGTTCCTTTTGGCAATTAGGAAGTTGATGAAGATGACTTTAAAACTCCAAGTAGAAGTTCTCTATAATGTATCCACCAAGCAAGCTTTGAACCACCAAATATGCTAGTAAACACTTGTTAATAAGTTGTTCTTAAGCTTTAAGACTTATACCAAATAAGTGCTTAAAGAGAAGGAACTTTAAATCCTTCATTTCTAGCATCAAAATGGAAGAAAAAAGAAGAGAGGGATTGCATCCCAATTCTTAAAATTGGTTGCCATTTTATGGAGAAATAAGTGAACAAAAAACTAGTCAAAACTCATCTCATAAGCCTTTCTTTTATACCAGCACTTAGTACAAAAGGTGGACATAAAATAATAGAAGCATGTAGTTTTCTTACAAGCATGGCATGAGGTAATAAACAAATCAAAAGACATGTCTAACACCATCATTTCATATAAGTTAAAGGAGACAAAAATGAAATGCTCTTTACTTTATTCAACTAACGAGTTACGTATCTTAACTTGAGTGACCAAAAAGTTGTACATAGCATTTAAATACATACCTTATGTATATTAAGCTAGTTTTGTTCTTTTTTTTAATTATTTTCTGGAAACAATAATTCCCAATATGTTGGTAAAATATTATTTTCATAAAAATAATGTTTTTTTAATTAAATACAAGTGTTGATATATTTATTAATAATCAAATTATACAAATAAATAATCAATTAGTGGTAATTTGCTATAAGGTGTGACCCTATAGGATCATATGTTATTAGCAATATGATTTTATAATGATTCTTGGGCATACAAGATCTTTCATAAGCCTGTGTCTATGGATCGAATTCAGATATGTTCGTCACCGACGATGACGAAACCGTCGACGTCTGTGGGTTGAGTTTCTAGACGAAGCCGTCTTCGAGTACAAGACCGAGTTTCCAAAAGAAGCCGCCAACGTCATCGACTCTTTTTCTTTGCCAAAAAAATGAAGACGCTGGGGGTACAAGATCGACACTGTGAAGGTGAAGTCGCCGGAACTCCACCCTTTGCATCACAGACCTAAAATCCAGATCGATGAAGATGGTGGCGTTGTTCTTTTGTATCTCCAAATCCTGCTACACTTTTAGAACACCACCAATTGGAAAATTCGGCTCACCACCTACCATCGAGGTTCTCTCAAAATTTGAAGAGCTAGGGTTTGCAGCATCGTCACCCTCGACTGTCGTCTTTATCGAGTTACGACGTCGGCACCCTCAACCATTTTCTTCGTCAAGTTGCAGATCGGAGCTAGGGTTTGCAGCGACGCTAGTAGTGGTTATCTTTGACGAACGAAAATGGAGGATTTTCTTTTCTTCCGACCGGTGGTGGTGGTGGAATTTTTTTTTGGTGAAAATCAGAAGGAAGATGACGCATTCCGACTAGTGGTGCTTGTTGTTCATATCTTTCCAAGAGGTGGTAGTTGATGTGGTTATTCTTTCTTGAAAATCAGAAGGGGGAGAGAAGAAGATATGGGAAGGGTAAGAAGGGGTAGGGTAGTATTTTATTTTTGTGTTTTTTAATTGTTGTAATACAAGGAAAAGGAAAACACAAAACAAGAATGGCAAATTCGTCAATTTAAGTATTTTTTTTAAATGGACTAGACTCTCAACAAAGTCAAAGTTTTGGACCGATGGTGTTAGTCCTAAACTTTTTGGACCAAAGTAGTAATTTTAACAAACGGCATGACCATTTTTGAATTTTTATCTTTTATTGTTGATCACTTGATACCATGTTGACCAGAAAGCAACTAATGGAAATTCCTACGGGTTTAAATTAAATTATAGACTATCTAACCATTTTGGTTGAATTTGGTTTTATATAATGATTTTAGTAATATATGGGGAGAGAATGCGTTATAAGGTCGCTACCACAAAACACTTGGATGATGAATGGTCGCTCTGAAGTAACAATATACTGCATATGTACCGTTTAATTATCAAATCTCAAATCCTAAGCAGTATTATTGTATTATAATTCTTCTCCAAAGACAACTCTTATATATATATATATATATATATATATATATATATATATATATATATATATATATATATATATATATATATATATATATATATATATATATATATATATATATTTTATTATTAGTTTGATTCCCGGTATTGCATCTATTTTATGTCCTGCGAAAGTAAAATAAACAAGAAATAGCATCATGTGCAGTAGTGGGATTTAAATCTTGCAGCACTTGATTCTACAGCGGTTTTCAAATTTATTAAACCATAGGCAATAATGGTTGGGACTTCTATAGAAACTCGGTTCTCCTTATATAGAACCACAAAGTTTCTTTTCCATAACCACACATAATCATAAATAAACAAAACCAATGTCTTCTTCATGGAAAGAACTAGAAAAATTTCGAATTCCTCTTGAAGAAATCAGCATGGCCACAAAACAATTCAATCCAGAAAATCAAATTGGCAATGGTGGATTTGGGACCGTATACAAAGGTAAACTCTCAGAAAAATGGGCAAAAGGTGATGTAGCCTTCAAATGTCTTGATCGGCAGAGTTATCAAGGAAGCCACGAGTTCTATAATGAAGTCATGATAGTTTCCAGGTTCAAAGATTCTAACATCATTTCTTTCATTGGTTATTGTGATGAAGACAACAAGATGATTATAGTTTATGAATATGCTAACCAAGGAAGCCTTGATTCTCATCTTGTACGCCCAGATTTGAAGCGTAGATTAACATGGGCAAAACGGTTAAATATTTGCTTAGGGGCAGCAACCGGACTCACGAACCTTCACTCTAATCTCCAGAATCAAGAAACTGTAATTCACAGAGATGTGAAGAGTGCAAATATATTGTTAGATGAAGATCTGAATGCAAAAATTTGTGATTTTGGTTTGTCAAAATTTGGTCCAAAAGATTCTACATATACACAAATCTTTACAAGGCCTGCTGGAACAAACTTTTACATAGATCCTTATTACAACGCAACACATCGGCTCTCGGGAAAAGCAGACGTGTACTCATTTGGAGTGGTTTTGTTTGAAATGTTGAGGGGGACTTTGGCTTATCTTGCATTGCCTGATGAAGATAATAAGAATGAATATCTGATTGGCCAAGTGTGGAGACTCTATGACAAACATCCGAAGAAGTTAATTGATCCCTTTTTAAGCAGTGGCATTGATGAAAAGTCTTTTGAAAAATTCAAAGAAGTTGCATTTGATTGCATTCAGGTTGATGCTGAAAATCGCCCTTCGATGAGTGTGGTCATGCAGAAGCTTCAATTAGCGGTGAAATTTCATGTAAGTCTTTACATCTAATACTTTTAAGGAAATCTACTTTCATATACAAGAATAAAAAAATCTCTATTTATATTTCATATAATATGATAAACTACGAAATCATTCTTATCAACTGCGTTTTATTCAGAAATTTGAATGTCATATCAGTTTAATTAATTTTTATTCCTTTGTGTTTTCTCACATTATTTTACAGAAATACTAACCAAAAAATTGTTTGTTACAGTCATGAATTTCGTTTGTACACCATGGAAATATACTCTAATTGTAAAAATTTCAACAACTTTACTGTATAGTTATAATTCTATACAACTGAAGTTACAACACTAGTCACTGGGGAGAAATGATAATATGTGATTCTGTCTTTTGATAGCTCCATTTGTATCTATTCTCAGCACATATGATATCTGTAGATGGTTACAGATGATTACTTTTTACTTAATTATGATTCTAATCTAGTCAAATTTTCTGATGACTTCTCTATTTTTAGCCAAAATTTAGGACATAGCCCAAAATAGCCATCAAAACTGTAAGTTATTGAAATGGTCTAGTGTTTTGCTTAATGGGTCTTTGGTTTCGGCACTAATACTTAAGGATTTTTTTTTTTTCATAATTTACTATGAAACCGTAGACAATTTTATGGTCTACGGTTTCCTCTGAATGGTGTACTGTTTCCCAAACCGTAGACCTTAAAATAACAACATTGCATTTATATTACATTGTATACAGGTTACAAATAAAAAAAATTACGAAAACCGTAGGTACATAAGAAACCTATGGTATACAAGCAATTAATGCACGTTTTGTGCATTGAACGCTTGTAAACCATAGGTTTCGTACGAACCTACAATTTTATTTTTATTTTTCGTTTTTTTCTAAAAAAACACATCTATTGAATCTCCTACTAAACAAGAAAAACAAAAAATACAGTTCAAGATTTAGAGACACATTTGGTTGTTCTCTGAAGGGTCCATTGAGAGATAATTTTAAACTTCAAACAAACACAAAATGAGCAAAACTGAAAATTACAACTTTATATATTGTGGGCCAACAGGCCCTGAAAGAGTAGACGGCCCACCAAACAGTAGCCCATTGCCCCCGAAGAGTAGTCAACCGAGAGTTGACCGTAGTCAATGCTTTTTAAAGAGTGTCTAATCTAATAGTCGATCGTGATTAGAGCATCCACAGTAAACCAAAATGTGTATTGTATCTTCAACAATAGGAAAGCTTTTCCACAGTGTGTTTGTGTGTGGCTGTGTTTCTGCATGTGAAAATAGCAGAGATGTATTGTTCTTTGCGTGTGCTTCTTATAGCTGATATTGGGTTTATAACTTGATTCACTAGTAAAGATTCATTAATGGTATAGTATTGTTTTCATTTGCCCAATTTAATCATTAAATCTTGCTGACCCATTTGACTAACCCTGGTGCATTTTTATTTTTTTTTAAATTTTCTCAGAAGGAGAAGAAGAAGAATTCTGCTGTTGTGACTACTGAAGCAGTGGTGAAATTCCTACAAATCCACAAATTATACCCTGAGTTACGACCTTACGAAGATCAAATTGAATATAGAATGAACACATTTTTCAAACAGAAGATGCTCATTGAAGAGCATGAATGCCATCTTGAAGAATTTGCACAAGGTAGTAATATGAAATTCGAAACTCATCATGTGCATGAAACTTGGCATGTAGTTTACTAGAAGTTATTTTATCCTAGTAAAATCTCTAAACTACCTTAATCTAACCAAAATAGGAGGAATCTACCATTAATTAGTGTTGCATTTGTTTCATATCATCTTTTGCATTTACCTCTCACCACATCTTTTGCCCACAAAATGAATATATGAACACAGAAAGAACATAGAATTATCATGTAACAAAATCAAAATTATCATGTACGAATTCAATATGAACATAGAAAGAACACTACTCAGTGACCAATTCATCACAAAATTAGAAAAAAATATATCTTTGCAAAAAATGTTGTTTCCTGGATTGATACACCACTGGCTAATGATATATATATATTACGTCTTTTCTACAATCACTATATGCCTTAGGTTATTTGAAATTTGGGCTTAATAGAGAACAAGGGGGCATTGTCTATCGTGAATGGGCACCAGCTGCGGCGTATGTTCTTCACCTAATATTTCCATACATTTGCTTTTGTTGAAGTTCGTTTGTTCAAATTTCTGATTAGGGTTTTTGCTTTATACGTGATCAGGGAGGCATATCTGTTTGGAGACTTTAATGGGTGGAATAGATGGAGCCACAAGATGGAAAGACATATGTTTGGAGTATGGAGCATCAAAATTCCTGATGTCAATGGGGTTTCAGTCATTCCTCATAATACAAAGGTTAAATTCACATTCAAGCACCATCAGAACGGAGGTTGGATTGACCGGGTGCCAGCTTGGATTAACTTCACAAAACCTGCTTCCACTTCTGGTTTGGACGGCGTTTACAGGGACCCACAGGACCCAGGAAGGTATATGACTATGAGACGACAGATTTTAAAATATGATTAATACACAAAACAATACACTTTTTGATTTGATATGAGATGTTTTAGAGTATCCATAATTCATAGAGTAAATTACACGAATGGTCCTTATGGTTTGGGTAATTTGTGCGTTTGGTCCCTAACTTATTTTTTTAACTAGGAAGGTTCATACTATTTGTTTTTGTTACGCGTTTGGTCACTACTGTTTGTTTTTATTATGCACTTGGTCTTTGTCTTATCTAAAAAGACTATTATTTAAATAGGGAAAAACAATGAGGTAGATAAGGTAAGATGAGGAGGTGGGGTTGGGGTGTGTTTATTTAAATAAATTAAAAAAATCTAGGGAAAAATTGTCTTTTTAGGTAAGATAGGGACCAAACGCGTTACAAAAACAAACAATAAGACCTTCCGAGTTAAAGAAGAAGTTAAAGACCAAATGTACAAATTACCCTAAGCCATAGGGACCAATCGTGTAATTTACTCTAATTCATAGTAATAGAATGATTGAATGGTATGGAATGCCTAAGTCTCATTGAATGAATTAAACTCAATCATAAGAGTAGGATCATGTCTTGTTTAAATTCAATACATATTGAGTTTAATGACTTTGAACTTTCTAATTAACTTTTTAATTAATATTGAATGATTAACAAATAAACAATTTTTTCTAGTATGTTTCATTGAACTTTTGTATAGCATGGAGCAAAAGTTATGTAGAGATAAAAATAATAAAGCTGTATAAAAATAAAATTATGATGTCCATAAACTCTATAAAACTGAATGCAATTTTTAGATCTCGGTTTATGTAATTGGTAATCTTCCAAGTAGGTATGAATTTGAAAACAGTCGTCCATCAAAACCCAACGCAAGCCACATATATACAGTTCATTTTGGGATGAGTAGTAGTTTAGAACCCGGAGTGAAGTCATACCGAGAACCCAGAGTGAAGTCATACAGAGAATTTGCAGACAATATTTTACCTCGGGTTAAGGACAACAAATATAACACCATCCTAATGAAGGGGGTAATGGAGCATTCTCATTACGGATCATTCGGCTACTATGTTACCAACTTTTTTGCTGTGAGTAGTATCTCAGGAACACCAGAAGACCTAAAATACTTAATAGATAAAGCACATGGATTTGGTTTACGTGTTTTGATGGATGTTGTTCATAGCCATGTAAGTTCGGATGATGTATACGGGCTCTATGGATTTCATGTTGGCCAAGCCACACAGGACTCTTACTTCCAGAATTCATGCCATGATGATCGTAGGTTTTTCAATTATTCGAATTGGGAGGTTCTTCGTTTCCTTTTATCTAATTTGAGGTGGTGGCTTGAGGAGTTCATGTTTGATGGCTTTCGCTTCCATGGGATAACCTCCATGTTATATCATCACCATGGAATCGAGTTTGCATTTACGGGAAAGTACAATGAGTACTTCGGTGATTCGATAAATGTTGATGCTATAGTTTATATGATGCTTGCAAATTTTTTGATTCATAAGTTATTGCCTGATGCAACTGTGATTGCTGATGATGTTTCGGGAATGCCTGGTCTTTGTGTGCCTGTGGAGGAGGGTGGGATCGGGTTTGATTTTGGGTAGTTGTGACCATTTCGGATGAATGGAAGGTAGAAATGAGGCTCAAGGTATTGATTTTCATATAGTAACTTTGATTTAATAGTTGTAATAAGTGATCATTAAGTTTCTGGATTGGATATGATTCACGAAAATATAGGTGATTGCGCTATAGAATATAAATCTTATTTTTTGCTGCTGTTCTCTTTTTCCATAAGATTGGTTGAAGATTGTTTAAATTTCCATAAAAGTCATTTTAATTATATTTTTAGTTTCTTTTATGAAAGGCATCCTCTATTTGTTAACTTTCCACAAACGCAATCAGAAAATTATTAACCTTCCATAAAAATTCAGAAAATCCATTTCAGATTTATCAATTTTTCATAAAAACTGTTGTCGAAAATTTGAAATTATCTTTTATAGAAATTTAAAATTATGAAATGGCTTTCACTAAAAAGGAAGTCAATAATGGCTTTTCAATTTGGGAAAATGACTTAAAAAGGTAACCAAGTTTCAAAAATGTACAAAAAATACCATTTTTTTTTGTATACAAAATACCATTTTACCGGCTATTGTAGGTTACCCGGTTTCCAAATGTTCAAAAAATATCATTGTTGTTTTTTTAGTACAAAAAATACCATTAATGTTATTATTTGTACACAGAATACTAACAAAGTGCATATGTGTTCAACTAAAGCATTGTGGTAACCAGGTACTTCAGGTAAATGGGAAAATGACTTAAAAGTGTAACGAAGTTTTCAAAATGTTTAAAAAATACCACACTTTTTGTTAATTGTGTTGTTGTCGGATTATGTAGAACACAATCACCGGAGATCATGAACCGTCATATCAGTTCGCAACAATTGTGCAAATTTCTTTCATTCATTCACTTGATCGTTCTTATGGTAACAAGAGAGTAAGTGGGTAATAACATTAGTTAAACATTCTTGCTTCCCGATCATATTATATGCCTCAAACCTAAAACATATATACGTTATATAGATGCACATATTATACATCACGGTTAGCCGTTTATTAGTGTTGCAGCACAAGAGAGAAACAAACGAGTGTGACGTTATGTCATGAGAATTCCTAAATATGGATTTAGATACAAACTGATCGAGTGATGGAATGAAAGATAGTACACAACTAGTGTGAACTGGTACGACGGTGACTAATCTCCGATGACTGTGTTCTATATAATCCGGAAACAACGAAGTTAACAAAAGGTTCTCTGAAAAAACAACAATGGTTTTTTTTTTGAACATTTTGGAAATTTCAATGGTATTTTTTATACTAAAAAAATAATGTATTTTTTTAACATTTTTGAAACTTTGTTACCTTTTTAAGACATTTTTCCGTTACCTGCGGTAACCGGTTACCCACAAGGTTTTATTTGAACACATGTGTACTTCATTGGTATTTTGTGTATAAAAAATATACTTTAATGGTATTTTGAGTACTAAAAAAAACAATAGTCTTTTTTGTACATTTTTGAAACTTCATTACCTTTTTAAGTCATTTTCCCTTTCAATTTAAGGGGTAATTTTGTATTTTAAACTTTATGTTTTCCTTTTCATAGTAGTATAGGGCCACTCCTCAAGGGCCACAATGGTATATGGTATAACGTGTTAATAAAATAGGAGGTGATCGGTCTTTTTAAATGAAATGAGTAATTAATAATTTAATTTCATATTGTTTGGTAGGTTAATAAAGATGAAGAAAATGAATTTAATTTAGGGGGTGTTTGGCAAACCACAAGGGTCATTTACATCAAAAAATTAAGACTTTGTTACTTTTGGTAAACCATCAAGACCATTTTTGTAATTTTGTCATAAATTAAAAATAAATGGTTATTTTGTAATAGATATTAAAAGTATCATCATCTTATATAGAATGCCTTTATTTAATATAGTTATTTAAGGAATTAGTGATCGTTCTTGCAGAATAAAAAAAAGGTCTTGGTGATCCTTTGAACAGTGACTAAAGACTTTTATAAAAGTGAATTTTTTCTTAATTTACTTAAAAATGAATCATGAAGATGCTTTTTTGACAATTTTTTCTTGTGAATCATCTTACAAATTAATCATCTAATGATTCATTTTCTTTGTTCGCTAAAAAAATATGTAGGAAAAAAACTTTTTACCTTCCTACCAAAATTTTCCTTCTTATTTGATCTTGACTATATATATATATATATATATAATATATATATATATATATATATATATATATATATATATATATATATATATATATATATTAGGTTATAACCCATGTACACTAAAGATGAGAAATAAAAACATTAAAAATAAAAGTGTGATGATTAACGAATGATTAGAAAACCTTGTTCTTATAGGCAACAACCTTATACCCCCTTATAGACTGGCTTGAGGACAAATTAAGCTGCCATTTTATAGGCAACAACCTTATACCCCCTTATAGACCGACTTCGTGAATGAGACCTACTAACGGTAAAACGACTTGTTCTTATACATATATATATATATATATATATATATATATATATATATATATATATATGTATGTATATTATTAAACTTATAATATTATAAAGTATAAGGTTTGAATTTTAACTTTTAAAATTCTAGGGGTTGGAACTAAAGTTTTTAAAGTGACTTTACATATTCCAAAACTTGAGGGCAAGTTTTGTAACTTTCAAAACTTTTCATCTTTCATAACTTATGAGTTAATGGATTAATAAAATGAGAGATTTTTCATTTTACGTAACCTATGTGTTTAATAATGGACGTTAAAAGAGTGACTTTTGGTAATCCATAACTTGAAGACAAATTATGGATTCCATTAAAACACATCAAGATCAAGAATTAAACTAACAAGCAAGTTACAAATAATTCCTATGATCTTCTAAACTCATAGGTTCATGAATGTTCATATCAACAATTTCAAGAATCATAAATAAACCATATAAAACTTGAAATTTTGATAATAGTCATTGAAAATGGATTAGCATAACCATTACACCATCTAAAACAAGTTTTATAACACCAAAACAGTTTAGGGTAATGTTTCTTGTCCATTTCCAGCAGCAAAACTCGAAAATATGCATTCAGGCGCTCCTACTCGTTGAGTGCACGAACCTACTCGACGAGTAGGATGAATTAACTCATGGACTCGTCGAGTCCCCCCATGGACTCGGGCGAGTTCATGCTGCAGAATGCAGAAAACTGAGTTTTTTCAACAAGTTTGCATCAAGTATCAAATAAACAAGCCTAGGCTCTGATACCACTGAAGGGTTTTGAGCATTCTAACACTCCTATGGTGTACATGCAACCCTAGAAACCTTGGATCTATGTTTTACTATGATACATGCAAATTTGATTTCCAAGGTTCATAACCTATCTAGCATAGCATGGGGAACTTTTAAACATAAATGCTAGAAGTAGAACATACCTTTTATTGTTTGGATTCCTTGAAAACCTTGTGAGCCTAGCACCTCAAGTGTGATGCCTCAAATGTCTCACACAACACCACAATACTTGGAATAACCTTGAGAGAAGTTCACTAACACCTCAAAATCGGCTAGCCCTCTTTCTTGCTTGTACAAGTGCCGATTTTGCTAGTCTAGGGGTCTTTATATAGTTGTGGTACAAGTAGGGTTACACAATGTAAACCCTAATTGTCATGGCTTTTCATATTCTATGATCCATGAGTTTGTAACCTCCATGGACTATCCATGGAGCACCTTATGGGTTTTAGCCCAATCAAACAAACCATGGATCATTATCCTATTATACAAGAATGAATGATTTACACAATCCACCCCATATATTTAATTAGTCTCTTTTTGATCACTTAATTAATTCCAAATTAATTCTTTGATCAATACTAATTAAATAATATTATTAATATATTAGAACTTATAATATATTAATAAACCTTAAGTGTCCTTTCTCTCATTTTGGTCTATCCACGTATTGCAATGCCATGCAACCCAAATGGACCATGCCAACCGGGTCAAGTACATACCAGAAATAGTTATGGACTTAGACACCTTATCCAACAGTCTCCCACTTGGATAAGTCTAATAACTATAACTGCGAGTATGACTTCAGGAATCGATCAGCAATCGTAGCTCTTTCAAGGTCTCGCGGAACTGAGATGATGATGATACGCCATTTAAGATAAATAATCATATAATCCTCTGTTCTAGATATCAGCCGGACAAATACGTGGAACAATGTCTTACTTATTGTCCATCAGTTTGTTTCTCGATTTCCGATTTGTTTGACATAGAACTTAATCGAACACATCAATTTTGTTCTGACCGGGACCAGTACATAGGTCACAACAAAAACATCGAGGGGCCCACATATTGCTTCTAATCCAAGAAGGAACAGATAGACTTCGACTCATATGCTTGTTCTACTACTTGTTGAATTATACACAAAGGCACGTTTTATAACATCAAGTTACCAATGCGTTTTCGTACAATCAATGTATAACCAACTCATAGGCAACAACTCATATCTCTAGGTTTGAAGACATATATGATATTACCGTCTCACGATCACTCGAGATAAATTCCATGAAGTGATACAAGTGAGGGTGGGTTGAATCCAATACTCAGAACTTATGAACACTCATGAGTGTTGTAGAAACACTTTGCTATGTCCAACATCTTAGACATCTACAAGCCAACTCATGATAATGTTGATTCATATCTACTTCCAACATACGACCGACTGTGGAGAATTTGAATAATATGATATACCATAACATAATTATTCTGGAAGTCAAAACATGCAAAATGAAATGTAGTAAACGATTGACAAGATAGAAACACTTTACTCATAAATAAACAACAACTTTTATTCATCATCAAATGTCAATTACACTTTACACATTTCAAAACTATCTAATTACTAAAACTAATATCATCCTTCAGCCTTATGCGCCTCGCATGTTGGAGATGCTTAACCCTACCCAGTCCCTTCGTGAGGGGATCTGCTGGGTTCTCATCCGATGATACGCTCTTTGCCACGAGGAGTTCTTCTTCTATTCAATGTCTGATGAAATGGTATTTTCTGTTGATGTGTTTGGATCTCCCGTGATCCCTTGGTTCCTTGGCTAAGGCAACTGCACTTTCACTATCACAGAAAATCTCTATAGGCTCCTTTATAGCTGGTACAACTCCAAGGTCTCCAATGAAGTTCTTT